CGGGGGCATCATCCTCTGTTATGTCGGCTTCGCAGCTACACGCAGTTTGCAGCCTAGTAAGACAAGGGTTTAGGATTTAGGATTTAGGGTTTAGGGTTGAGGGTTTAGGGTTTAGGATTGAGAGTTCAGGGTTTGGGGTTTAGGGGTTCAGGGCTTAGGGATTACAGTTTAAAGTTTAGGGTTGCTTGTGAGGAATTTCAATCAAGCTCAGGATGTGCGCGTGGGATTTAGTGTTTGGGGTGAAGTTGCCAAGGATGGAGAGTCACACGGACGAGAAAAAGGACAATGAAATTGAAACCGGGCATGTAACGTTGTATAACATAGAGGTCATAGTAAGGGGTGTCTCTAGAATGATAACTTGGTATAATGGTCCTTCAGAGCATCCGTCTAGATTGATTATTCCTTGCTCGTTAAATACACACAAATATATATATATATATACATATGTATTCCCCCATATGGAGATTTCCCGAAATTAGGGATACCTTTTTAAGGTGTTCCCAGGCTAAGGACTAGAGTGTCTACGTTGGGATTCTCCTTTTTCTGGGAAGCCACCACATATCCCTTAGAACCCTAAGCCCCTGACCGCACAGGTCGCAGAGCCCCGCGGTTTCCACCCTCCCAAACCTCGCGTGCAGCTCTCAGCTATGTTGTGCAGGGGCCCCGGGGCGCAGGGCTTAGAAGCTAGGGTTTAAGGTTAGTTTAGGGTTCGGGATTTAGGGTTTTGAGCTGAGGATTTAGGGTTTTGGGTTAGAGGTTTGAGAATGCTTAACAACTACAGTTACAATGGACGCGTGGGCCAGCTTTTTGTGGTGTGCGCTGATCTGAGGCCGAGATTGGTGGTAGTCCCTTCCTAGTTGTGTCGGAGGACCACTAGAAAGACCGCAAGTCACTTGAAAGTTGTGGCCGCGATTTGAGCCAGCTGTACCCCAATCCCAAGCTGCGCTGCGCCAGGACGCCCACCCCGGCTCCCTGAAACTGCCAGGCAGCATTCGAGAGCGTCTCGATGGCTAAATGAGCCAAAATCTAAACTCCTCACAGGGGGTTATCTAGGGGATTCTATATCCCCTATATTTAGCTTTAGGATTTAGAGGGCTATGAAGGGGTAATATTCTAGGGGTTGTTTACGGGGACAATGAGGGTTTATACTATGGCTCAAATGCTGGATGTGCTCGATAGATTCCCTGGCAGATTCTTACTTGCAGTTAGTAGGGACTAATGGAGTATAAGACGGAATGATATGTAACATGTTCCCTCATTCCCTACCAGCCCCAGGTAAGAATGCTGGGGAGAGATTCTTGGGCTTGAATTGGTGCTAAACCAGGCCTTCCCAAGCAGTAGTAATAGTAGCCGATACCACCGCACAGTCCCGAAGGGATAAGTGCGCTGTTTCCTAACACATAACCTTGCGCGTCTGACTTATCTTGGGACTTCTGGGCGTGAAGCGCACACTCCCCCATGAGGGTAATTAGTTCCGGGTAGGGAGATGGATATCAGGCGCAAGGAAGCATGAGCAGATCCTTTCCACATGTGTTTTTCCTTTCCGTGCAGGACCGTACCCAATTGCTTTGATTTTTGAGGGGTTGGGGCCAGCACGGCTAGTGATCTTGGCAGCACGCGGAGTTAAATGGCCGCGTGTTGTCGCGGCGAGTTTCATTGGTCACGTGCTTTCCTGGCCCGGGCCAGACTTAGCTGCTACGGAAACAGCATGCTGCGTGCTTCAGTTGAGCCGGCTTACTGCTTTGTCTTACTGGTGGCTAGTAGGGAATCAGGGAATATATTTCTAGGGATTACATAGGGAGTATATTCTCACATATTCGCATATTCCCCACCAACCACCAGTAAGTACTGGCGTCGAGGGAAAATCACTCAGCAAAAGCCGGTTCTGACTGCTTGGGCTTGGATCCAGTTGAGATTTTCGGCTCTGCATGTGCGGACGAGCAATCATACTAAGTAGTAATCATAGTAATAATGGTAGAATGGTAGCAATAACAATGGCAGCAATAATAGTAGTAATGATAATGAGTATTGCTTTGTTCTTTCTATTGTGCGTATGTAGACGTGTTGCTGGCTGCCGTTTTGTTTTACACGCTTGTTTAGCCGTGAACAGAGTGACGGAGACATTGGCCCCCCAATGTAAGCTATAGTCTAAACTCCTGAAAGGAGGGTCTTCTAGCGGATTATATAGGGGAGTATTATAGGGCTTGTTAACGCGGGATACTAGGAGTTTCGGCCCTAAACCCTAAACTATAATAGGGGTTATTCAGGGTGATACTAGAAACCCTAAACCCTGAACCCTAAGCCCTAAACCCTAAGCCTTAAACCCTATACACCCTAAACCTGAGTTTAGACTACAGCTCATGTAAACTCCATGGCTCCAAGCTGCCAGAGCTGTCGCCAGACTGCGGCGCTGGGTGTGCTCTTCGTGCTCTCGCGCAATGCAGACCGAGCTCTAGTCGGAGGTAGGGTTTAGGGTTTAGGGTTTAGGGTTTATGGTTCAGTGACTCAAAATGGTAATTTCCCTAGATAAGGGGATCCCAATATACACCCCAATATACTATAATCCTTATTATGGGGACCCCGAAAATGGTACCCCTAATTTTGGCCAACTCCCAAATCACATCTATGGTCTTGTAGGCGCTACCCCAATTATCCCTAACCCTGAACCACCGAGTAGTCAGAGGCCCAGTTCTTCGATCCGGCCGTCCATCGGCACGCCCCTGCAACGAGAGGCCAGAACCGAGGACGCAGCCTCAGGCTCATAGATGATCCACTGAATCCCACGCGGCTTAGGGTTTTGCACAATTGTTGTGGGCAATATCCCCAATCAAGTTCGAAATCATGTTGTATAGGGCCCCTAGATCTAGAGATCTACTCGTAAACCCTAGTTAAGCCCTAAACTCGTAGCCCTGTTGTAGTCACCGCGCTCCGGACAAACCTGGAAAGGAGCCGACGATGCTTCGGAAGCCTTGAACAGAAGATTTCCGATGCCCCGCGCATCGCGTGGTCTTTCTGGGACAAGGGCAAGGCAGCTAGCCCCTAACATAGAAAGAGGCACCCCAATGTATACTGTGCTATATTGGGGGTGAGGGGGTCGCGGGTCATTTTAAAGGGGAGGGGATTCCCAAGTCAGAAGGTTCTTAGGATCATGCAGGATTCTTATCCACCGTATTGTCAGGAGAATTTGCCAGACTTCCGGCGCCTTTGCATGGAAACCTGGTCTGCGCAGAACCCGCAATGGAAGCTTCTTGCCTGAAGGCCATGAGAGCTATTATTTCTTCAGGTTTAAAGGGTTTAATGAGGGAGATTACCTCAGCAAAGCAGAATCATACGCCCTGACTGTGCAGAATAAACATCGTAAAGCCAGGCTCTAGGGGTGTGAGGCAAGTAAATCCAAGAAAGGCAAGCGCATGGGTCATTCCCCCTTACAGCAACTGCCCTTACAGGGTGCTTCTTAAGGAGCGAGTATAACTCTTATCACTCGTCGCGGTAGCTGTTACTAACTGTAAGGCGAATTGCCGAGAGCAAAGGATAGTGATGCTGGACCAGAAGAATGTCCTTGAGTATTTGGAGCCAACAGAGCTTCCAAGATTATGGCCGGAGATGTATGTTCCCTGGCAAGCCGATGCGGTGAGGCAGGACGATTTAGTACCAGTTTCCATACAATCTGCATGTTCTTGTCCATTTTAGTCTCCACCATTGAGGTGATATCCCCAATTTTTGGACTCCCCAACTTGGCGGCCACAGAAGGCAATGGAAGAGACCTGAAACCCTAAACCCCTAAACCCAAGACTCTAAGACCCCGAAACCTTAGACCCCTAAACCCTAGACCCCTCAACCCCAGACCCTAAACCCTGGACCCTAAATCCCCAAAGCCTAAACCTCTTCATCCCTTCCAGATTGGCGCTGCTAGCAAAATATGGAGGCTTATGGATAGATGCCTCCACCATATGCTTGCAGCCGTTGCTTTACAGACCTTCACTGGTATAGTCCCCCTTAAGTAGATGGAATATGGGGTATATGGGGATCTTATGAGAATATACAAAGCCACTTAAGCGGGACTATATATTAACACTTGTCACTTTGTGTGGTTCGTCCTTTTTTATATTCTGGGGCTGCGTCATTCCCCCCCCTTACAGTAACTGTCCTTAAAGTTTAAAGGGCTCTTAGAAAGGGGCCATTAGAACTCCTACACCTATCGTGCCAACTGTTATTGTAAGGGGTAATGACCCGATTTCTGGGTATTAAAAGTCCACAAATTTTAGCAGGTTTGGAGAAGACAACCTAGGTTTGACAACTGGATATACAACACCATCTCCTCGGATGATACATCCCAACACCTTGGTGTTGCTTGGCAAACTTGAGCAGCTGCTGCTTGAACGGCTGGGTGGGCTTGATACCCAACGAATAAATTCTAAAAATCCTAAACCCTATTCAAGCCCTAGAAGCCTTCAACCCTAAATCCTAAGCCCTAATCACCCTAAACCCTTAGCTCCCAAAACCTTTAACATCAAGAAAGCCCTAATTTCCACTTTTTCAGGGGCCGGGATGTCGAGCCGAAAAAGTTACCAGAATATGGGTAGATAGTAAATGATGGGCTTCAGGGTTTAAGGATTTAGGGTTTAGGATCTAGGGTTCAGGGCTCAGGGTTTGGGTAGTAAATAGTAGCGTTTCCTTATTATTAGCAACTTATTAAACGTTCCTTAACAGCCAAACCCTAAGTCCTGAACCCCTAAATCCTAAACCCTAAATCCGAAACCCCACAGAAACTTGCCCGTGATGAGCTGTAGTCCGCGTTGTTTGGGGGCCACCTAACATGCTGTGAACTGGCATGATGTCGCCCGCTCGTACTGAGACCTATCGGACTGGAAGCAGAGGATAGATAAAGAGGCGCTTAGAAAAGTTAAGTCCTAAACCTTAAACCCCTAAATCCTAAACCCTAAACCCTTAAATCCTAAACTCAGACCAAGGCATTCTATTTCTCAGCCTGGGGATGCGAGATGCACAAAAGCAAGGCCAGGGTTTGGGGTTTAAGGTTTGGGGTTTGGGGTTTAGGATTTAGGGTTTAGGTTTTGGGGGTTAAGGGCTAAGGATTCGGGTCTAGGGCTTCCAGGAGTTTTAGGGGTTTAAGGGTTTGAGGTTTTTGGTATTTTTGTTTTTGGAGGGGGGAACTTTAAGGGTCTTTGAGGGTTCGGGGTTTAGGGTCCAAAGGGTTTTTAGGGTTTCTAGTGACTTTAGGGTCTCTTAAGGTTCTAAGGGTTTTGGTTTAAGGGTTAGGATCTGCGGCTCTTTGCGTTTATAGGGTTGATACAGGGTCGTTAGAGTTTAGGTTTTTAAAGGGCCTTTAGGGTTTAGGGTTTGCTTGGGGCCGCCCGACCAAAACGTGCTAAGAACAATAATGCTAACAACGAGAGAAATAACTATGCGCAAAAAGAATAATAATCATAGTCGTAGTAATAGCAATGCCAGAAAAAGGGCAATATATAACAGAACCCCAAACCCTAAACCCATGAATAATCCAGGAGTTTGTGGAGAACTGGGTGATGGCTGCTCGCCGTCAGCACCCGATGGTTGTGGCTTGGAAGGCTCTGTTCAACGGCTACTGGGCTGCGGTTCAGGCATCTTCGACTGAACCCCAAACCCTGAGCCCTACTGACATTTCACACCGTAAACCCTAAATCCTAAGCCCCAAACCCTAAATCCTAAACGGCCGCCGTTGCATAGGCATCCTGAGGGTGGCATACAGGTCCTAGACCCTAAGCCCTAGACCCGAATGCTTGGGCTGGTTGATTGTCAGGCTATTGTATTTTCGGCCTAACAACGGCCAGTAGCGTAATGCCTTGAGTCCTGCCCAAGCAGTTTAGGGTGTAGGGTTTGCAGCAGCAACTTGACAAACGATGTTCACCAGAATTTTAATGGGCTGACAGGAGCCTTCAATATCATTCCTATCGTAGACGCTTACTGGGTGGGAGCAGTACCCATATGGGCCCACTGTTGTCGCCACGAAGGGGAATTCGTAGATGTGAGGCATGGCAAAGATCCCAAAGGGTTAAGGCTTTACGGTTTAGGGTCTTGGCATGGACTATTGTACCAGACCACGTAATCCACAGGAACATAGGGATATACAAGGTAACATAAGGTTGTAATAGGCATGGGAAATCCTGACCTTACCCTTCGTTCCCCACTGGGTTGTGATAGGGCTTATTCCTTTCGAAGATTGATTTCCTGCACGCGTTCCAGACACCATGGGCCCATGGATGAAGGTCTGCTTCCAGAGGATTTAGGGTTTAGGGCCAAATCCTAAACCCCAACCTCCTGCAAGGATACTGGGACAGCAAGACGAGGCGGGGCGGAGGCACAAGAGGCTAACATATTTGAAAGTCATCAAGTCGTGAGCTATAGTCTAAACTCCTTAAGGGGGCTATATAGGGGATGACATAGGGTTGAGGGTTTAGGGTGTGGGCTTTGGGGTCTAGATTCCTTAGAGGGGAGCTATGTAGGGGATAATATAGGGGACTATGATAGGGGTTATTAAGGGGATTCAGGCTATGGCTCAAGCTGTGAATGTCATGCTGTACATCAGCAAGCGAGTGCATGTGCAGCTTACACATGATGTGTGCCCAGACGCTGTCACGCAGCTGTATACCCGCACAGCAGAAAGTACAGCCCCACCAAAGCAGATAGAATGTGGTATATATGTATATATGCGGATCCCTTATGTCATCTTGGGCAGTTCCATATTCTATCATTTAGGTACTGCCCCCCCCCTCAGTAACAGTTGGACAACAACGATAATATGGTTATATATAGCCCTTAATAGGACCCCTAGTATAGACTGTTGCTGGGTGGGGGCAGTTCCATATTCTATCATCTACTTAAGGGGTACTATAAATGGTGGTTTCCCAAATTAGGGGTACCCTTTTGGGGGTCCCAATAATAAGGATTATGGTATATTAGGGTCCATATTGGGGTCCCCTTATTTTGGGAAACTACCAAATCCTTTTGCTTGCCCAGGGCAGATGCGATGTCAATGTTCTTGGATCCACCCGGAGTCCCAGATCATCCTCTGTTCCTAGGGTTTAGGGTTTGGGGCTCAGGGTGTTAGGGTTTAGGGTTTAGGCTTTAGGGTTTAGGTTGGGTACTGTTTCCCCCCCAGTAACAGTCTATATAAGGGCTATATATACCCATATTGGTATTATTATCCAACTGTTACTGGGGGGGGGGGCGTACCCAAGGTTTAGGGTTTTATTGCTTAGGCTTTAGGGCGAAGGCTTTGCTACAACTTGAGCACTTTAGAACTTTTTGCGGTTCCTCTTCTTTTATATTCTTGGCTTTATCTTAAACCCTAAAGACTAAGTCCGAAACCCAAAGCCCTAAATTCTGGGAGCCCTGGCAGACTATCCTAGCACTCTACCAAGGCACTTAACATTAAGCCCTAAACCCTTAACAATACCTTAAAGCCTACACCCTAAACATTATACGGAGCAACTGAGGTTCCAGGGCGTCGACCTAAGCCACTTAAAGCGCTTCGGGCAAGATCTTCGCAACTACCTTCTCATGCACCTGTGATATTTTTGAGAATTAATTAATGTTTTTCGGTTTAGGGCTTCGGGCTTAAGGATGTGTTGGATGTAGTGATTCGTAGGGTTTAGGATTTAGGGATGTCAAGGGTTTCGGGTTTTGGCCTACATATCCTTACAGTCGTATGGCAACCCGGAATCCATCCCAGGCACGCAGCCTTTAAAAAACTGATTGATGCTGGGCTGCAGAGTTTGCCGGCCTGCAAGGGTAATATTGGGGCTAGATTGGCGGTATATAGGGATAATGGAAAAGAAAATGGAAAGTACTATAGTGGGGTTAGACAGGGTTTTGGGGTGTAGGGGTCAGGCCATGATTAGATGGGGGCTTTCATGGGGGATATACGGTCGTAATTAGTGGAGAATCATGTGAACAGGATCATGGAATCATGGAAAGTTGACTGGAGACGAGGAGGCTATTCAGACAAATGACTCAGCCACTGTTCATGTGCGACGCGCGTGTTGGTCTGCCCTTTCACTTGCAGCAGTGCCTACCACAATCCAAGAACACCGCAGGATCAGTATCCAGAGTTCCGACGAATCTGGGAAGAAGAAATGGTCTTGATCCGAGCAGATGATACCGCCTTCTGGCACATGGAAGAGCCGGACGTCAAGTGGGATCCGGAGGCCGGCAGATCAGCGTTCCACTTTTGGGATGAGTGAGAGTGTCTCAAAATATCCCTTATCTGGGTAGGCCAATGTTTTCCCTAATGGCTTTAATAAGGGACCCTATATACTAATATTTTTCAAAAGGTTTTAGGGGCCAACCCAGTTATAGAATCCTTTAAAATTTCGGGCTTAGGGTTTAGGCTTCTCAGAGTTTAGCAATAGAGACCCCTCATGTATCCGTATGACTCAGAAGCCCCCTACTAAAGGATCCAACAAAATATTTATGTGTATATATATACATATATTAAGGATGTCCAGGGTGGATCCAGCAAATGGGTTTCGGGCAAAGTTTAGATTTTTAGGGCTTAGATTGATTGGGAAATGTTATTGGTTTTCGTATAGTTTAGGGGATTTGGGTTGTTGCTTCCTCACAAGCTGCGGAGGGCCGCTTGAACGTCAGTCGACCCTAAACTCATCAACTCTCAGTGGGATTATAGGGGTTCAAATTCAGGGTCCCTTTTTTGGGGGGGGAAGGGGGGGGGGGATCCGAATAACAAGGGCTAGAGCATTTCGGGATTCCTATTGTGGTCCCCCTGTCTTATGGAGGCTGCCTTCCTCCAGCACTCATGTGAGCTAGCGTCAACCTTCTCCTATATGGTTTAGGGTTTAGGTTCCATTTCCTTTAAATCCTAAACAAACCCAAAACCCAACTCTATAGCTCCTTAGGACGTAGCTTGGACCCTAGACCCTTAACCCTTTCAAATTCCCTTATACTCATATTATAGCTATCTAAGGGTTAACCCTTAGTGGGGGTCTTAAGTGCCACGTAGGAAAGAAAATCTTGATGACCCAGTAGAGGACCCCAGTGTAGACCCAAAATATTTTCATCCTTAATATTGGGACCCGAAAAAAGGTATCCCTAATTTTGGGAAACCCTAAACCCTAAACCCTATATATCCCCTATACATCCCCTATACATCCCCTATATATCCCCTATATAACCCCTATATAATCCCCCTTTCAAGGTACAGTAAATTTTAGGAGATCCCCATATTCAATGTAGCTCATGTAATTTTGGCAGTCTGCTCAGAGGCCGCTTTGCGCAAATGGCGTGGCAGATTGGATCCGGCTTGGCTAGTCACCTCCATGAAACAGACCAGGGTTTGGGGATTTAAGGTTTAGGGTTTAGGGTAGGGTTCAAGGGTTAAGCAGGCTGGGTGGGAATTTAGAATAGTTACCTATATTATGGTCCTGTAAGTAGAGGAGCAAGAACATGGAAACTAAGACATGATTTAGGGCTTATGTTTCGGAGTCATCAATTCAAGAACCTCAGCGCCTGTTGCCATGATATATGACCGCTGAGGACTATGTGCGCTCGTCTTGTCCAGCGACCAATCTGCAGTTGATTTATGATGCTCAAGCCAAGCCGCAATTTCTTGATATTGTAAGTATTGCTATTACTACTAGCATAGGTATTTTTTTATTGCTGTTACTATTCCCACCACTACTACTATCCCCACTACTACCACCACCACGACCACCACCACCACCACCACGACCACCACGACCACCACGACCACGACCACGACCACGACCACGACCACGACCACGACCACGACCACGACCACCACAGACTCGACGACAACAACCTCGACAGA